TGGGGGCGGGGGCTGGGGGCGGAGAAACGTAGGAGAGGAGGAGGAGGGAAGGAGGATGCTGATGAGGAAGGGAGGATAGTAGTGAGAGAGGAGAGGATGGAGAGGTTGTGGTGGAGGGTGGCAAAATAAAGGAAGCGGATGGAGGAAAGAAGGATGGAGGGAGAAGGAAAAAGTGAAAGAGGGAGGGAAAATGAATAAATGGAAAAGCAGGAGGACAAAGAGGATAACGGAGGAGGGCGGGAGGGAGAAAGGAAGAAAAGGGAAAAGGAAGAAGACTGGAGGCAGGGGAAAGAGCAGCACAAGGGCGAGAAAGAGGGATGAGGTGTGGGGAAGGAGAGAGGAAGGAGGACAGAGGGAGAATAGAAGGAGGGGGAGGAAACTAGACAGGGGCGGAACTCATGCTGCTATCTTTTCGACCGAGGACCACAAACGGGGCCCGGCTACAGACGCCGCGGCTGCCCGGGCAGCTCTAGCAACGAAGACCTAACAGTCGGGCAGGGCCCGCCCGGGCGGCCTTGGCAGCTCCAGCTCCCCATGTTCCGGGACCCGGTCCAGCCCCCCATGCTCCGAGACCCGGTCCCGGAGGTTCCTCGACCCTGGGATCGGTGCTTCTCCCCTCCCGACCCCCCTCCCGGCTCGAGGACAGGTGGGGGATTCGGTCCCTCAGCCGCAGCCGCGGTGCCTCCTCTTCCTCTCTAAGGTTCTAATGGCCCGGGGGAACCCGTTGGGGCCAAGACCAAAACCTACAACCTGCCGCTTCTTCCGCTTCCCACGCTTCAGAAGCGGGAGCCTCCACAGGGCCACTTCTTCCGCGTCCGGGCTCCCATCGGGTCCTGCGCACGCGCCCGGCGGCCGCGCCACTGGGCCCGCGGGCACGGAGCATGCGTGGGAGCCCCGCCCCGCAACCTTCTTTCAAAGGGGAGGAGCGTTTCCAGGGGGCTCCCGGCGCCTACCTCGATGGCATTGGCCCGGGGACCCTGGCGCCCAATTTCGAAAAGAACCAATAGTTTCTAGACTCCGGAGCATCAGTTTCAGGAGAAGTTTGAGCCAATATTCAAGGGAAATAGAGAGAAATATGGGGTTTCCACGTTATTTTAATCCTCTGAGATCCCTGCTCATTTCTTAAATCCCTCGATTTTGTTGGTCTTTGTCTTGGAAGGGCTGATTTCTTTCTCAGATCAGCCATTTGGATGCAGCAGACAAAAGAGAAGTAAAAAAAAGCAATGCAGTAAAAATAAAGCGAATTTCATGTACTTAGTGAGAAGCACTCATTTTCATTTTGTAAGCACCATGAGCTTCAATGATATTAGGCAAAGTCCTGAAGAACAGTTAGCAGAACGAGATTTTTTTTTTCCCTAGAATTTATGGAGACCTTAACAATCATGACTTGGCGTGTGTGACACCTGGGATTATTTATTTATTTAACAAACACCTACATAGCACTTATTGTGTGCTAGGCACTATTCTCAGAGCTTTAGAAATATTAACTCATTTAATCCTCACCGCTTGAATGACCCTGGGGGAGTGAAGGCCATTGCATTTGGTTATTCATACATACCTAGGAAGTATAAAAAATGTAATAGCTATGAAATTGGCTTCAGAATTTAGCAAAAATAATTTTGCCTGCCTCTTCAATTCACTTGTCTCATATTAAACTTGCCAAGCACAATCGTCATTTTATTCCTTGATATTTATGCTCTCTGCTTGTCATATGAGGGTTCTTAAAGCACTTTTGGATAGTTTCCTTTAAATTGCCTGTATTTTTCCACCAGCTATATTAGAAACAGTAAGATTTGTCTTTGAGCAATTTATGTATCAGTTTTTAATCTCACGTTCTTAGCAAACCCCCCCGCTCTCAAAAAAGTATAATACATTCTATTGTTCACACTAGCTACTAAACAATCGTTTGTTGACCACACGAACACTCCCTAACTCTGAGGAGTCAAAATCCCTAACTCAGGACCTAACTCTGAGGAGTCAAAAGCCCTAACTTGCAGTAGTTTAATAATGTAGGAGAAGTTCGAGGATATGTAAGAATAAGGGTGCTACCTTGGACATAATTTCCAGGTTTTATTCACATCATTCTTGCCTACCTAGTTTCTTTTACCTTTCAAGTAAATCTTTTGGGAGGTTTGGGGTGTTTGTGGTTTGCAGGCTTAGATTCAACCTGCATTTGACTTGCCCTTGTGGTAACTACAGGTTAAAATGTATTTTAAAGTTGTCACGACAGCTGGTAAAATAAAGAGCTGATTATGACATGTTTGTGGGACACCTTTTATAGGCAAGAGGCCTGGGACAGAAGGCAGCAGACTGGGACATACAGAGAGAGGAACAGCTTAAGTGTCAAGGTATAGCTATAAACAAACCAGTGGTCCCAGATCATGGCATATTACTATGAAACAGGAAGCGCTGATCATGAAACACAGCTGAGTTGATATAATAACGTGTAGTTAGCCGGTCCGGTACTGGCGCGACACTGAGGGTTGCGATCCGTTGCCGGACACGAAAAAAGACAAAAAAAAAAAAAAAAAAAAAAAAAAAGAAATGCGAAGTAAAAATAATTTCTTTAAATGTTGTGTTTGCCATTGTAGCATACAGAATTCTTTCTGCTTTTGTAGTACTTGTTCCTTTTGATATTCTAACCTGAGTATGTAGTATGAGTCCTGTCTATATCTTTACAGGTTTTGGGTTCTTTACATGTAGCTGTTCTCTAGTTAAAGAGAGTCTCTCCTCTTTGGTAATAGTTAGAAACTTACTGCCATCTCATATATTTAGTCATTTCATATTACTACCCGTTTTCTAGAAGCATAGTCCTTTAGTTGCTCTTGTTTTATTATACCAATTTCCTTAGAGTTATTGTACTTATATTTTTAGAAATTAAATATCTGTAATGCTTAGGCACGATGAGATTTTGTCTATTCATTCAAAATATATTCATTAAACCTTATTACCAGCTAAGAACATTAACAAACTTTTTGAAAAGTAAAATGAACAGTAGAATAGAGGTAAAATCCACTTATTCACTGGCATACTCCATATTTTTCACTTTTCAGACAGTTTGGTTTTGACCCTCTGTTCTATCTCTAACCACTGCCTTTTGCATTCACCCTGACTTTACTTAGCTTTAACCACCATGTTTTGTAACCTTTCTAGGTACCCTGGGAATTTTATCAGTGGCTTTCAGGAGATCTTGGTACTAGCGTGTATTTTGCTGCTACCTAATTATGTGCCATTAATCTCTTTGGAATTTTATTAACTGTAAAATAGAAATGATTTACCTATTTTACAAGATAGCTATGAAGAAAAGGTTATTTAAACCTGCATTTATTCATAAAATAATTTAATAAGGATTTATCGAGTGTTTATGAGTACAGAAATAGTGTCCAGGGAAATATTCAGAGGCATCTCCTCTGTCTTTTAAACAGAAGGGCAGAGGAATCTTGGCTTTGCCACTTATTATTTGAGTAACCCCTGTGGGCTTTTGTTTCCTCTTTTGAAAAATGGGCATTGTGATGGTGCCTACCTCACAGAACTATTGTAAGCATTAAATGTGATCAAATATTTAAAGTGATTAGGACAGTACCATGCACATAATAAGTGCCCAATAAATGATAGCTATTATTAACCTGTCTTACATCAGGAATAGAGACTGCAAATCATCCTCGTGTCTGGGATTTAGGTAATCTAATTCTGCTTAATATAACAAAGTTTTTCTTATTCTACTCCCAGAATGAATGAAAAATAAATGATTGTGATCTTACATGTCATAGCTTGTCACAAACTCTCTCAAGACAATCCCATTTGTTAGGTTTGGTGAGACAGAGAAAAGAGAGAGAGACCCGAGTCAGGATCCATTTCAGCCAAAAGGTTTATTCCACTAATGTGGAGGGGAGACTGAACCAGATCAGTTCCCATGAACTAAGGAAAGCACAGGGTTTATAAGACTTTTAAGAAGCGTTCAGACAGAGTAATAGGCAATTTTGAAATCTGGTATGCAAGGTGATACAGCCCTTGTGGTCCGATGACATGTGGTAGGTTAAGTCATAGGCTCTTGATTAGCCGCTATCTCAGTACAAAGCATTCAAGCCCAAAGCCTGCTGGACGCAGCCCACAAGACGTTCCCTTGATGATAACAGTAACGTTTACCCCTTCCCAGGAGAGGATCTCAGTTCCTGTAACAGAAAAAGGAAAGGAGAGGGACAGAAGGGGGAAAGTTGCTTAACCTGGCTGTGCTGATGTTAAACTAGCCATGAGGCCTAATACCATTATTTTATGTTCACCACTGATTAGCTGAGCAGGGTTGATGACTGAACCATTTGAGTATGTGAAAATATTTTGTAAACTGTACAGTGCTATATTGTTATGGCTATTTTAATTAATAACTCCCATTTTACTAGGTTCATTTGCCTTCTCTGCCAGTTCTCTATATGGTTCATAAAATGTTTGGTTTTACAAAACTATTGGTTTGGAGTTAGGATTTCAGTACTCAATATGGCTCATTAACTGGTGGTGAAAAATTCTGAAAGAGCAGTTCTTAAAATGTTATGAACCATGGCAGCACTGTTAGAATGTATATAGTCTCCAGTGCTACCTGGAACAGAAACACTGATTTGGATGGATACTAAGTTCTGAGACATTTAAGAAAACAAGCCTCACCGATTTAACTCAAATCTTTGTAAATTAGCGGGAGAACTTTTTCTTCGATGAATAGCTGTGAAGAGCCAGATTTTATACAATGTAAAATTACACACTATATTTTATACAGATTTGATACAATATAAAAATGCACACTGTATGAGTTTGGTAAAAAAAACGAACCCACATTAAAAACAATGATTCATCTATGCACTTGGTTCAATTAGGTTATCACCCTTCAGGGGCAAGTGGCCTCTAAGCACTTGTTTTGTTTTTTCTTCCTTTTTAGACTTTAGCTTTTTTAAAATTACGAAGGTTTAGTGTGTCTGATGTTACAGGATGAAAGAATTCGTCATGGGAAGTAACAAATTTGTTGGCCTCATTCGTAAAGAGATGATGGGTTAGCCCAAAGTGAGAAATCTGAGTATTAGACATAGGGCAGAAAGGATGGCACTCCCATACACCTCACTCCTCCCAACCTTTTCTTTCCTAAATAATGGTTAAGGAAACCATGCCAGGGTTAGCACAGAATCAGAGGAACAACCACTGTGAGTCCGCTCTGGGAAAAGACAAGGGAGCGCGGGATTCGCAGGGAAAAGGCGGCTCCTTGACTGCGCAAGCGCCTCCAGCAAGGCTGACAAAGACGCCTGAAATGACGCTTTGTTGCGTAATTACGCCTTGTCGGGCTGGACGCGGGGCGCGTGCGCAGAGGGTGGGGATCCAACGGATCTTTGAGGCCGCAAGTTATAGTTTTTGTTTTGGCCCGAAATACTTACCTGGGGTTTCTATGGGTGAGAGAGATAAAGGAGGATTCGCGTTGGGGACAGATAAATCCTCTTTCTCATCAGAGGCTTGGAGATGGGGATCTTTTCAGCATTAGGGGCCATACACATGGGGGGTAGTAGGTTCGGTTCTGCCCAACTTTATGCCCACTGGTGTTAGGGACATTAGAGCTGCAGAAGTGAGTACCCCCACTCGTCTAAGAGCTTTCTCCTCTCTTCTCTTTTTCCTCTTTGCCTCCCTCCGTACATCATCTGCTGACCATGTCGACTTGTCCTCATGTGAACAGGAGCCAGAAAGCCTCGAAAACTTCAAACTAAGCAGTGGCTTCTTCCTTGGCACGGACATGGCACTGGAGAAAATGCAAGTAGACTTGGAGCTCCTGCCAACTTCCACCACCCCAGACGGCAACATCCTGAGAAGGTCCACCAGCTCCCCGTTGATCAATGGACTTGGGTGAGCAGTGTTGAGATACTGGAGGAGGCAAGCGTGTGTGGGGGTGAGTGTTGGAGAAAGTGACTTCCGGTAGCATTCCCATCTTTTTATTTATCGAGGTTCTGCAGGTATCTCCCTTGTTCCTGGTGTCTGGAGATCCCGCCCTCAGCCTCTGGGGAAGCGGGATGTGTTGACCTGAGGGAGATCGCACACCCACCCTGAGGCTGACACACATCTGAACCTGAATGTTCTCTCCTGACAGCCCACCTGGACCCAAAAGCAGCAACCAATTGGTGTGGAGCACGACTTTTTTCTAACTTCACCCAGTCTCTTACGCGCTCCTTTGAAGAAACTGAGCATCCTTCCCCTCTCACCTCCAGGTCTTTTACTATGATTGTAATTTTTGTCATACTCTTAGCTGCTTTGTCACCTCTGATCTTCACTTCCAACATACTCCAGATGGAAATGGTTGCCAAGCAAATAAGCTTGGGCCTTTTTTACACCTAGTTTTTACCTGAACAAAAAGTTTAGGTACCACAGAAGCGTGATCTCCTAAGTTACACATTCTCGGTGGGTGATATTCCCCCCAAAATGGGGAGAAAATTGATTCTTAGGAGGAGTGTGAAAAAAAGTTTTACTCTTTTTATGTATAAAGCACAGACACACATACAGTACATAAACAAACAACAGTATGTGTGTGGTATTAAAATTTCGTGGAGGGGGGCGATTGGGGAGCAAAAAGTTTAGGAAGACTCCTTAGAGATAGAAACACAGCTCTAAATGATAGCTAACTATATTTCCTGCACATTTCTGGCATTACTAAACATTATTTATTAAAATATAATTTTAAAATGATATCTTGAATCTCACATCCCAGTATCATAAGGTTTTCTAAATATTGTAAACGTGTGAAAAATGCATTCTCTACATATGTCATTAACTTTGCTCCTCACATTTTGTGGCATCATACTAATTGATAGTTGTAGTTCACAACATCATAGACTCTTAGAAAGATCAGATCTACCCTTGATATTTAACATATGAGGAAACTGAGGCCCACAAATCTCCAAAATGATATAGTTAGTGACAGAGCCAGTACTAGAAACCTGTGTGTACTGACTCCTAAACTAGTATTCTGTCCACTACTGATCAACATCTAAGCTGATTAAGTCTAAACAAATGCAGCTTTCTGGTCATTTGACGTAGGGGAGAATATGGTGTCATAAAATAAAAAGCAAACTAAGATTGACCAAAAAATAATACACAAACTTTTTAAAATAAACAGGTAGAAAAATAAAGGTGGGAGGCTCTGCATGTTGTGCTGAGAATAAGAACATTTTATAAAATCAGGATTTTGCTCTAATCCTTGTGGGAATAGAGGAATTGTTATGGGACCCACTCTGCTAGTAGAAGAAATTAGTGTGGAGAATATTGGTTTTATTGGAAGACTGAAAAGAAGAAACAGATTGCAAATAGACCATAGAGGGTATGTACTTGAAGGAATACATGCATCCCGGGTAGTGTATTCAACATTCCAGGGATGGGGCAGACCAGACCCCCTTCCCTAATTCCCAAAGTCCTGGAAGAGAGACGTCTCAGTTATCCCTTCATACTTTGCTTTGTTCTGCAAAGGATTTGAAGTTTTGCTTTTATTTTGTATCATATTAGAGCATAGTTACAGTGTTGAATTCCGTAGCTTAAGATCCTGATGCATGAAGTAGAATTTGTACAGAAAGGTGAGGGTTAATAGCATATTTATCTAGTAGGAGTTACAAATATGGGAACCCTGAAGTGGACCCAGTCCAGGGACTCTCGTCCTTCAGAAAGGAGTAACATAGGAATGACGTATGACATCCCTGAGGTCAGGGAACTTGTCCAAATGATCCGAGGGTATATTTAGTGCTGTTGTAGCAAGCTTAAGGTGTGGTCAGAAAAGTTCTTCTGAAGCAAGAAAAATTTAGAGTAGGATGACACTGAGCCTTAGTTGAATTCATTTTCATCTCAGTTCTTTTCAGTTGCATGTGTATGCTGCTCACTTTTCTCACTTTTCCTTACTTGGACCTCTAATACTTGTTCTGCTTCTTTCTAAACTACACCTGGTAGTAAAGCATTCTGTTCACATTTTGCTGAGTATTGTTGCACCTCTTTCGAGTGATTTTTAAATTTTTCTTGATGTTTCCTGTATATAAAGACCCTCTCTTGCACCAGCATTTGCAGTATTAAATCCCTTAAACTTTTTCCTTAAATGTCACCTCTTTTATATAGTATTACTGTTTTTGAGAAGTTCCTGCACTGTTTCGTATACATCTTGTATTAATAAAAATACCAATGTCAAAAGTTTTGAACTTCGGTTCTTTATACTCTTTATCCCTATAGCTGGCTGACTTTATTACTTGTGTCAGTAACTATACCTAAAGGTGGTAGTTTTGTTCTCTTCCTCTGACCTTTATTAAAAGAATTAGAGATTAGGTTTTTGGATTCCTGCCAGTGCCTCCCCCCTTTCAAAAACCTCTAAAGGTCCAGGGCCGGCCCGGTGGCGCACTGGATAGTGCGCCGCTTGGGAAGCGCGGCGGCGCTCCCGTCCGAGGGTTCGGATCCCACATACAGACCGGCTCCCGCTCACTGGCTGAGCGAGGCACGGGAGCAACACTGAGGCTTGCGATCCCGTT